TCGCAACAGTTAAGCCCAATCTCTTAAGCGACCCGAAATTCCAAATTTCAACACGTACTTTTCACTTGCACATGATACCTCCCAATATACACATAAGGATCACACCACTTCTAAACACTTCGCACGAGATAACCCACCTGCTTCGCTTTAATATAACATTCCTGTATACCTTCCACCGCCATACACATTACACAACCACTTAGTCTTCCTGAGTCTGAACTCGTACCGCAACATAAAATTTACTTCACTCTCGACTGGAAACATGAAAAGATTCTTCACGCGCCCATAACTCGGGGCCACACCTCCACTCACAATGGAAATCAAACACTTAATGGTTCATCTATCATCCAACAGATCTTCCTCGTCACTTCCAAGTCACATAGATACATCTCGCAGTACTAATACACTCTTTACATAGCTACCCAGCCGTCACTTCCACTAATAGGGACACTACCAAACAAATAAGTTCAAAACACTTACTCACACAATCAACCTCAGTGCTCAAGCCGTAGGCAAAGATCCGGCCTCAAGTCCTCCAGACTGGCCTAACATCAAACTCACAGAGATCATAACTCACTCCTTGATCGGGGAATCACAAGCCATCAAGGCATATCTGATACTGAGCGCTCATGCGCGCTTACGAACGCGTGGAAGGAATTTCAAGAGTTACTTTTCAAGCTGAATCAAGGACGCACGATAAGAATTCAAGAATGTGAAGTTTTCCTAAAGGTTCTGCAGCCTCTCGAGGAGAAATACAGACGTCTCCGTACCGCTCCGCGAGACTCTACTAAACCTGCTCATGACTCGTGAGACCTAGTAACCTAGGCTCTGATACCAACTTGTCACGACCCAAATCCCAACCCGGTCGTGATGGCGCCTCTCGTGAAGACAAGGCCAGCCAGAACAAAACTAACACCTCTTTTAGGGCAATTGATTAATATTAATAAAATTCTAACACATGCTCAATGTAGTCAATAAAGCGGAAAACAACGATAAGAATACGGAAATCATCCCGACACAGCCCAAACCGGGGTTTCACAAGTCACGAGCATCTATCGAAAAATAAATCCACTACGAAGTCTAATATATATACAAAACCGGAATAACTAGCAAGGAAAAGAAAAATGGTGTGCAAACGCTGGCAGTCACCTCTTGACTCATATAACCCTGCCTCTGATCAGCCAAAACCCGCTACCGGGTGAGTAGATACTTGCATCTGCACGCAAGGTGCAGGGAGTAAAGTGAGTACTCCAACTCAGTGAGTAATAAAGGTAAATAATAACTGAACAGTACGAAAACACGTAAAGCACACAATCACACTATATGGAAGCAGGGTAAAATCCTTTGAGAAAACAGTGAAGCGGTGAAATCTTTAGAAATACTTGGCTCAGTGTAAAACTCTGTTAGAAAGAAAATGATCTTTTCAACGGTTATGAAATGATTTCAAACAGATAGTGCCGATAAGCACAAAAATTCGCCCCTCGGGCACAAATACCACGGCATGACAGGTAAAAAGACAAGTAAATAAACAAATAAGCACATAAAAGTCCGCCCCTCGGGCCATATCTCAAACAGTACCAGCCCCTCGGACTCACTCTCAAATCACTCTGCATAGCATCATATAGTAACCGCTGCGGCGCGCAGCCCGATCCACATCTCGCTGCGGCGTGCAGCCCGATCCACATTTCGCTGCGGCGTGCAGCCCGATTCGTATCTCGCTGCGGCGTGCAGCCCGATCCGTATGGGTACCCGCGCTCACTGTGGGGGTGCAGACTCCGGAGGGGCCCCTTACGGCCCAAGCGCAATATCAAGCCATCTCGTAGAATTAAATCTAGGCCCTTGGCCTCATACCAGTATCAGTATAACACTGCTGCGGCGTGCAGCCCGTATATATATATATATATATATATATATATATATATATATATATATATATATATATATAAAGTATCCTCACAATACAGGCCCTCTGCCTAAATCAGTCAACAAAATCACATAAGCCACTAGGGAAACAGTAAAACATGATGCTCAGCCCAAATATTGTTAGAAATATCATTTCAAGTGTCAAAGTAAAATAAACTTGGCTGAGTCTTAAAACAGTGGAAGATACGTGACTGAGTTCAAGAATATAATTAAAACAGTGA